GTGCAGGCTGGTTGTGTCGTGGCCAGATGTGTTGGTTTGTGATGTGTTGTGCTGGTTGGTTGTGTCGTGGCCAGATGTGTTGTTTCTGTAGTCTGTTGTGCTGATTGATTGTGTCGTGGCCAGATGTGTTGTTTTGTGATGTGTTGTGCTGGGTGGTTGTGTCGTGGCCAGATGTGTTATTTTGTGATTTGTTGTGCGGGGTGGTTGTGTCGTGGCCAGTTGTGCTGTTTTGTGATGTGCTGTGCTGAGTTTTGCTTGATTTGCCTGTTCTGTTGTCTTGTTCATGCTCTCAAACAGGCTTGCCGAAAGGTGTGCTGAGTTGTGTATTCAGCTGTGTTTTTTTCAGCTTTGAGACGAGTGTTTGTACTCCACATAGTGAATTTTTATTAGCTGCACCTTATTCCGGAGAACTTATATATAATTACATATGTACTTGTATGCACAAATGTGTGTGTATGCTTATATATATATATATATATACATGTTCATGGGTCTTTTGCAAGCGTCAATATAAACCGTGAGATATTCGAGAGAATCTCCAAGTACCACTACACTCCGCCAATATCAAATATGTGACGTTTGGAAGGTGTTTTCGTGTTCTCTGATGAAATTTCATCGTCGTATACCGATTCAACTTGATCTTTTAGAATGAATCGATTGTACGTATCTATTTTTGTAATTTTGTTGGCAACTATATATATGTATATATATATGTATATATGTATATATATATATATATGTATATATATATATATATATATATATATGTGTGTGTATATATTTAAAAATTAATATATAGATGGCTATATATTATACATATACATCATATGTTTAACATACAAATTTATATATATATATATAGCATATATATGTATATGTGTACATATATACATTCACATATATATTTATATTTGTATGTATGTAGGTATATATTTGTATATATGTAGGTGTATATATGTATGTAGGTATATGTATGTATGCAAGTATATGCATATATATAATATATATGTGTGTGTGCTTGTGTGAGTGTGTATGTATGTATGTATGATGTAGTATGTATATGTATGTATGTAGTATGTATGCATGTATATCTGGATATATAATAGTATATATATGTGTGTGTGTG